GTGGAATTATTCAGCATAAATAATTTCTTCAATATGAGAAAATTCGTACTTTAGTCACTAAAGACTGTTTTATTATTTCTGACAGCTGCCAGTGGGCGTATGTTATCTTGCAACGCAAGCTATCTTTTTATAAAAGATGGTTGGGAATTTATTTTGCCAATCAGAATAATTGCGTTTAACAACTCGAGAGACTTGGCATGAAGTACTGTTGTATTGCGCGGAGAAACAGTTTGAAGTTGGTTGATCCAAAAGCTCTTCCTGTATAGTCTTGATGATTTGGGGTGGATTTCTTCTTCCAAGATAACCTGTTCAATTGGTGTCACTTTCATATCACTAAGACTGTGGTTTTACTTTTAATGCTGCGAAGGTACCGTTTAGAATACCCCCGCTCTCGCAATGTTTTAAAAACTATCTGACATGCATTGTCGAAATCAATGGTCCTTGTACAAATTCTGTGGAAGCGCAGAATTTGTGACTTAATTATTCCCGAAAAAATGTGTCTTGGATGAAATGGACTTTTCAACAAAAGTTGGTGAGTATCCGTTGGTTTAAAATATACTTTGATATCTGCCTTACTAGTTACATTAAAATCCGGTCCTTTGAATACTGTTGTGTCGAGAAAGTCCATGCTATGTTCGCTGATATTGGCCGTTTGGTTATTCAAAATTTCAAAATATTGACTTCTTGAAGAGTATACTGCCAGATTGAAAAAATGTCACCAAGGAAACGCCCAGAAGACAGTGGTTTAATAGGAGAGATTAGGTCAATTTCGCGTTTGAATTCTGCCATAACAATATTTGCATAGGTGGGAGCGAATCGCTTACCCATAGCTGTTCCGGATTTCTGAAGGTAAATTTTGCCATTGAAAGAAAAATCATTTCGCTTTAAACATATTTCTAATAAATTTAAAATTTACGAATCTGGGGCCTGGTTTTCGAAAGTATCTTACGACTAAGGCACGTCTTAAGAATTTTACGACATATCATAGTCGTAAGATAGGTTTTCGAAAGTGTCTTAAGTTACGATAAATCATAAATTTCATCGTAATCTTAAGACATCTCTCGACCTGTCTTAAGGTGGACTTATAATTATCATAAGAGCTATTATTTAAGAGAATAAATAATATGGCTGCTGTTTACATGCTCATTCGACAACAAGCTGAAAACGTACGCCGAAACAGAGTATTTTGAGACAGAAATAACCCACTGGACTACATGGATGATGAACAAATAGTATGTTGATATGGACTTTCACGCCCAATGATACTAGAATTATGTAGAATGTTCCAAACAGCACTAGCCAACAGCAAGATCTCGTGCCTTTCCAGTTTCATTCCAAATAATGGTTGCACTCAGATTTTACGCCACTGGAAGCTTTCAGATGGCCAATGCTAATGTCCATAACATATCTAGACCAAGTGTATCTAAAATAACTGGACTTCGCAACATCATGAGAGGTTTTCATGAAAAAACAGACTTTCCAATTGTAGTCGGTGCCATTGATACGTACGTATAAAAGCTCCAACAGAGGATGAACATCTTTATGTAAATAGAAAAAGCTACCATTCTATTAATGTTCAAGCAGTTTGCGATTCAAATATGAAGTTTTCTTTTTAGCACTGTTTGTTACTACATTGCCGTGTCGGCTGAAAAGTAAGGACTTATTCTTCTCCACTTCGTCTATCACAATTTGAATCTCCTGCGATGTAAAATTCGGACTTCTTCTCTTACTCATTATTATGTATAATAAATATAAATGTATTATTTCTATCCTTATATAGTACTTTCTCAAAGTATTTGCACGAGCATTTCGTTAAGCGGTTATATGTACACGATGTCTCACATCTTAAAAGTATTCACAATTAGATAACAAACACATCATGTAAGATGCTAAATAAACACGGAGTTCGAGAATGTAAAAGTATAATAAATATACTAAATTCAAACAATGATCAAACTACGATTTTAATTCATTTTCATATAAAATTTAATGTTGATGATATATTTTGTAAGTAATAACTATAAATTTTATTTCCTTATTTATATCTTATGACGTTTCTTACGATACTCTTCGAAAACCAGGCCCTTGGTCTTTTTTGATCTG